AGCTACTGTTACTGTGTTGACTACGGTCCCTTAGAGTACGGTCGAGTGCTGCTGCCTGTGGTGCTTGCTGCTACACCCACTCCTAGTTTTTCCCGGAGTAGACCTTTGAGATCTTGTTTCAGAGTGTGATGTGCTGATCCTGGTTTCGAGAGGAGGCGCAGGGCTCAATATATGGAGTTCTGAACACGAGGATCTTGTTTTGCAGCTTATTTGGTGTAGCTTCTGATATAAATATAAATAGAAATAGAAATATAAATATAAATATAAATAAATAAATAAATAAATATATATATATATATTTATATCTATGACATATGACTCTGAAACATGGATTGGCTTCGATCCAAAGTTGCCCCCTGCACAACTCCCCTCGGGCTTGAGCAGTCAGAGGCAGTGCAACTAAGTCTCCACCCATGTACCATGCCATGTGCACACTGTAAATGTGATCATCAGTCCTGACAAAACGCTCTTGCAGCCCAGGCTTCCGACTCCATGCTTCCACGGAAGGAGGCCCGCGTCTCAGTTCGTTCGGTGCCTGTCACGATTAGAGGGGCTTCGGCTGGGGATGGTTGGGGGTTTGCTTTGTGTTGTTTTCCGGGTTTTGGTGCGGGAGTCCGCCTTTTACCTAAAAAGGCGGACTGCCGTGGATTGTCCTTTTGCTGCTGCACTTTTTCAGTGCTGTGATTGTCCTTGTGCTGCGGCACTTTTTCAGTGCTGTGCAAACTTCTGCAGTGCTGCTGCACATTTTTCAGTGCTGTGCACACTTCTGCAGTGCTGCTGCACTTTTTCAGTGCTGTGCATTTTCAACAGTGGAAGCCACGGACTCCCGACACTCGACAAAAACATGACATATCATCAACTTAGTATTAGCTCCTGCATCCAGGCCATTTAACAAGTAGCAAATCTGCATGTGGTAACACACACACAGACACAGGTCATTTCACAAGGCGCAAGAGCACATGTTGCCAAGAACTGAATCTGAAGACAGCTTACACATATGCACCCTTTGGTGTCCCCGAAATATCTACACCCAGTGATGACACCCGTGTTAGAAGGCTAGACCGCCGCTGCCCTCGAGTTCCAGATTGGAGCAGTGCTGGCCTCGATGTCCTATCAGGGAGTTCGGAGGCAATGTCTCAGAATGATACCGTGGAGCATTAAGATTGCACCGCTGGCAGTCGGGCTCAATTCACTTGGAAAGCACCCGCTGGCCGCCTGCTTGCACTTGCCATGATCATCACGGCCTCAGAGCAGTGTCAGCTTCGGCGCATGAATGCCCAATGCTGGGACGAGCCTGAAGAGCAGAGCGTCAAAGCCATCGAGGAGATGATGAAGCGTGGCCTCTACAGCTTAAGGAAGCTCAAGGCCAGGCGAGATCAACTTGCTCGATCAGCCACTCATCCCAATCACATCTGCTTGTCATTGTGTGTTTGCTGCGACTGTGTGTGTGTGTGTACTTCCAGCATGTGCTATGGGTGCTATGTCATTGCAAAGACGGCTTCACAGACTATCCCAGGACCGGGCTGATGTTGCTCCTCTTCTGCAGAAGCTCCACTTCATCATTGCATGCGCTGAAGCTGAGACACGGAGCGGGCAGGCACAGGGCCACATGAATCAGGATGTCTAGTCGTCGTTCATAGACAAAGAGCAGGGCCACATGAATCACGTGTCGCATGAACGACTAGACATGTTCAAGAGCGGAGCTGCTGTGAATTGATTCCCACGTTTTGACTCGTCACTTCTGTGTCATGAGACACGGATGTGGCTCATCCATGTTTTGACTCGTCACTTCTGTGTCATGAGACACTGTGGCTCAATTGGCCTTAGCGCTGAAGCCGTCCAGCAATTGGCAAGCAAAGGGTGAAAAACAATGAAGTTGTGAATCATCACTTGCCAGTGCCTAGCAAGCAGCAGTATCCTCATCTACTATCTGCAACCATTTGCATCCGGGTTCCTGAGGCTTGGCAGCTTGGCAGCTGGAGCGCAGCCGGGAACTAAGATTGGCTCCGCAAATCTGTATAAGAGTGTATAAGCAAAGAGCCCCCACCAGAAGTGAGCATCATCATGAGCAGCAGCCCGGTCCCGCCGCCCCCCCACACCATGAGCATCAGCTGGGCCATGTGCCCAGGCCGGTCCACAGAAGCACTGAAGAAGTGCACATCACTGAAAAAGTGCAGCAGCACTGAAGAAGTGCACATCACTGAAAAAGTGCAGCAGCACTGAAGAAGTGCACAGCACTGAAAAAGTGCAGCAGCACTGAAGAAGTGCACAGCACTGAATAAGTGCAGCAGCACTGAAAATGTGCATGGACAGTGGCCAACCAAAGCATCAGAAGCATCAGCAATAGGTCGTTGCAGGGAATCGTGAGAATCCTGCAAAACAAAGGCAATCTAAGTCGGCTGTCTGCGAGACTGAGCGATGAAACCCAAACTCCAGCAAGTCGTGGCCCCCGAGGACCGGACCACGGCGGCCACGGCAAGAGCTACCAGTGAGTCCCTGCCGCAGACTCAGCCGCGCAGTGGACCTGTCGTGTTCAGAGCTGTGGTGAAAGCACGGTGAAGTGTGGTCGAAGCACTGCAAAGTGCACTCGGACACTGAAGAAGTGTAGTTAATTCACACTGTCGGTGTGCACTGTCTCTTCATGGCATCGGTGTCACTCAATGACTTTCGAGCTGTCTGGCTCTCCAAGTGTAGGGGCTCTGTCAGCCATGGCTGAAAGCATGGACCTGCCCTCAGACGATGAGCAAGGCTTCGAACCAGAGATCCCTCTTGCAGTGCAGATTTTGGACACATGTACGAGACTTGGCCTAATCTTCACTAGCAAGCAGCTGCAGGACTTCTTTCGATGAGCTCCTACTTGTCAGTAGCAGCCACTTGCTGCCAAGGAAATGCTGCAGCAGGGATTGCTTGAAGACCTTCCAGCATGAGCACCGTTTGGCCCGTGTTCACAAGCGTTTGGAGAACCACAGTGAGGAGGAGAAAAACCGCTTCTTGCTGAGCCTGATGCAGATGTGTCCCCAGGTATCTTGTTTGCAGTTCTGATACTATAATATAATATGTGGCTTCCTAGACTCTGCTTGCTGATGCCTGATGCCCTTATCAAGGATGCCAACGGAAAGCTGCAGTATCAACTCCTCGGCCAGCGGGTCTGCATCAAAGCCTTTAGCCGATTCTTGAGCGTGAACAAGAAACGTGCACCTTGCCATGACCATGATGCAAGCAAATAGTGTGATTTCGGATCCGGCCGAAACAGCTTGCCCTGAGGTAGAGCGGCTCCTGGGTGCAGTGGGCTCTGGTCTATTGCCACCTGACCTGCGGCAGTCTCGTCATCTGCTCACCCCTGAGCATGTGGCACCACGCAGTGCCGGTGTGGATGCTTATTTGCATCATTTGTACGTGAACGTAGCTCCTTTGCTGCAGTTGCTATTTTCCTCTTGCTCACAGCAAGGAAGTAGGTCACAAGTCCAAGTTGGGATGCATTGTTCCATCTTGCAAGTAAGGCAGAACCACTTGCGGAGACAGAGCTGGATCAGAACTCCTATTTGTCTGGCCTTTACATCTGCGCGAGTGAGGAACTGAACGATGCGGAGTCTGACCATGTGCGAGGCATCGGAGACACTGCAGCAGAATTGCCCACACATGGCATTTTTCATGGTATCCCTCTGCTCTTTCGACAGAAGTTGAGAAGCCGTGTAACTGTAGTGTGCTTGATGCAGGCCTTTGGGACAATCGGGAGCTCAGAGAAGCGCTGTTCATGGAAGATGAGCCGACTGTCTTGGCGGCGGCGGACACACGCCCAGGCCAGGAACAGCAGAGCTTGGTTTTTTTTGTGCAACAGAGAGTGATTGTCAGATGATTCTGTTGACAGGTGGCCTGAAGCGTGACGTCAGATTCATTCAGCACCAGTCCTACGAGAGCATGTACGCGAACTACCTCATTTTCGCCCAGAAATCCCCGGAGGAGGAGGTCGCTTCGTACCGTACTTTCTGCCGATGTGTCAGCAGGCAGCTGAAAACCGAATGGTCGAAGATCATCCGAATCCGGAAGGTTTCCCAACACTCAAGGCAGGTGATCACAAGTGTGTTGTGGAGTTTACAATCGAGTCTGCATTTGTGTAGGTTAGAGCAGCTGCCCGAAGGTGTACCGCATGCTCGATGTTCACAGTGCGGGTCCGGCGAGCGTTGACAGAGTCAGAACGAGCTCCACTGTTCAAAGCACAAGAGGTTCACATTAGCGAAGTGATGGCTCACAGAAAGATTTGCCAACGCCTGAATACTTTGTCGGAGGAGGGGACAAAGCCGGGCCTTCAGGACTGCTCCGGTGCCGTCCTAAAGGTAGACCTAGACGGTGCAGACCAAGCGAAGACGCTGCTGCCGCGCAACTGCCTGGACCTGACTAAGTCGAAGGGGTTCTGCAATCTGTGGCGCCCACACGTCCACGTGATCGGCTGCATCATCCACGGTGTCACGTGGCTCTATCGCTGGACAGGAGTCTGAACTAGGTGATGGCAGTTGATGTTCGTATTGCTCTGAGCTGCATGGTTTACTTGTGAGGTGGTGGAGGTCTTTTGGCTGCTCCAACCGGACGTGGCTGGTGACAGCTCAACAGAGACGACTGTGCTGCTGAAGTCCTTGGAAGTTGCCGAGGAGATCCTCAATGGTCGTAAGACCGAGGTTCCCAAGCACTTGGTGCTGGAGGCACTTCCACTGATGTGTGTTTGTAGTGTGCTTTTTGTTCTTGGATTCTTCCTGCAACAAGAAATTGCCCAGGTTGACAATTGCAGCCGAGAGCACAAGAACCAAATCTTCCTGAAAACGAGTGCCCTCATGACATGCCAAGCAAAGAGCCTCGGACACATCATTGAAGCAAGCAAGCTTTCCCAGTGAGACCAGTTGTGCTGTGGTGGAGGGTCAGTCCAATGCCTGAGGTTCCGCAGCATCACACAGCTGCATGGGCCCGTCGGTCATACCCATAATGGGCTTGACCAGCGGTTTGCTGTCATGTTTTCCGCGCTGGATGGCGGCCCTACATTGGAGACCATCGAGGCTTGCGTTCTGCAAGAGTAATTCAAAACAGCAAGACTTCGGGTTGCACCAAGATTTCTATCTGCCTTCATTAAATGTGTGGTCCCTGGAAGGATGTGGCTTGCTGTATCAGAACCCGGTACAAGCCTGCCCGTGGCCGGGAGCTCAAGGTGGTGGTGCTGAACACATCTTCGAACATCAAGGACTGGGTGGATTCCCTGCCCATCAACATCTCCGGCCTCGTGCCGAATCCACGGCAAGCAGATGGAAAGGGCATGGACGTGTGCCATGCATGGCGGATTGCTCGACGAGAGGAGATCTAAGAAGCCCACATTATTGTGTTCTTTCCTAAACCATCAGCACCGTGTGCTTTTGCTTCGGTGCGGCAGGACGTTGCTCGATATGACGGTGGATGGTCGATCGAGTCATGCTTCCAAGAGGAGGAGCATCCGTGTGACGCAGTCCTCATGGCCAAGGAGCTGAGCTGCTCAGATTGTCTTGCTCAAGTTCCTATGGTGATCATGCCTTATCGCCTGATGGAGAGATTGATTGCGAAGCCTATGAAGCAGTCTGCCCGGCTCCAGCTGAGTGCTGACAAGATCAAGGAGTGCAATCCTGAGTCCGTGTGTGGACATGTTAGCTTTCGTTTGTAAGCTGCTGCTCAGAGACGCCTTTTAGGTACAACAAGACTGCGAAGTATGTTGCGGCCGACCCATGGTTCCTGCAGAGGGCTGGAGCATATCTGAACTCCCTGATGGTGCATCTCCGAGCTTGGGTATTATTGTTGTCACGTTGTCAGTCCCAGTTGGATGAAATCCTTCCAAGGTCAGTTTCAGCTGCTTGCTTTTGGTCTGAGGCAACGAATCTGGCTGAGGATCACCGGAATTTGCCAGAGACACCTGTGCCACGATGGTGCGATGCATCACACACGGTGCGGTCTGTGGTGCAGTACTGCTCACCTGAGGGGCATCTTGCTTGGCAATATAGACACTCTGTTGTGCAATGGCTCGCCCCAGAACCCTGTCGCTCTTGAGGTGGGAGCGGTTTGGCCCGGGAGCCCCTCGACACATCAACGTGGCCAACGTGGCAAGGCCCAGCAAGCCCGCTAAGCGTGCTAGGGTGGAGAAGGAGAGGCCGGCAGGAGGACTGGCCCCTGCGGTGGCCGAGAGGCGGGTGCCGCTGCCGCCACCTGCCGAGCGTTTGGAGCCAGCTGAGCCAGCACCTGGACCTGTGGAGCCAGCTGAGCCAGCACCTGGACCTGCCGAGCGTTTGGAGCCGGCACTTGGATGTTCGAAATGTCGCTACAAGTCGACAGGTTGTGCACAATGCAAAAGGCCAGATTTTAAACCTCGTGGTCGAGGCCGTGGCAGAGGCCGTGGCCGCGGGCGCGGAGAGTGAGGGTGACATCCTCCATTGTGGATTCATCGTGTGTGCAGTTGCTTATGTCACGCCAGAACCATAGTAAATTGAACATTATGTTCAGTGAGGGTGACACCCTCAAAGTGGGTTCATCGTGGGAGCAGTTGCTTATGTCCTCTGAGGCCCATAGTGAAACATCACGGTTCAGATGATTATTGGTAGCCACTGCTCGCACGTGGGTGGAAGCATGCTTTTGCATGCCTTTTGGCACATTGTCTCACTGCAATGTGCCGTTGCTCTGTCTGATTGGCTGGAGAGATTCTGGTCTGGTGGGTGGTCATCAGCACAGCACAGTGCTGTCTCCGAGGCGGCAAGTGTGAAAACACAACAACAGAGCGTGTGTGCAGTGCCAGAGAATGACCGTGAGACTGGCATTTTTGTCACACCCTCATGCTTGAGCAGCAAAGCCTAAGCCCTGAAACAGCCTGAAACCCGAGGCCCGGCACGCAGCTCGTGATGGGTGACGCCGGGGGCCCTGGAATTTTTTTTAGCAGCCAGTCAATTGTGATCTTATCATGTCTGATGTATCTGCTTCGCGTGGAGAATCTCAAGGGTACATAGTGTAGATGCCCTGAGATCGAGGGGTAGGACTGATATGGAGCTGGAGTTGCCATCAGATGACAGCCTGGACCTCCCGAGTGAGGTGGAAGCCCTTCCAGCCAAACAGCCACCACCCAAGAAGGCCAGGAAGGGATCCAAAAAGGGGATGAGGCATCCCAAGTCACTGGCAGAATGTTGCCGAGACTACGTTGGGACGTTCGGCCCTCAGAAACGGTGACAACAACGTCAGCTTGTCGCTTTTTACGGAGAGTCCCGTAGTGGGCAAAGAAACAGACTGAGGCCTTCCATGCCATTTCCTGATTTAGAAGATCAGCTGGACATTGGGGTTGAGAGCAGAATTTACACAGAACCCGCGCGGCATCTGATCTGGGAATTATTCAGCCCTCCACGTGTCAGCAATGCTTTTCAAAATCGCGGATATATGGCATCCCGATCATTCGATGTGAAATTGGGCTGGGACCTCTCGCAGCAGGCTTCCCAGCGGTCCTGTCTGGCTGACCAGATGTCATGCCAGCCGATTTTTGTGATGGCGAGCCCACCTTGCACCAAGTTGTCTTCCATGGCACTGAGCAACTGGAACAGAATTCCTTACCAGAAGGCTGTGTCCGATTTACATCATGCCTTGGATCTTGTTGATGTGACTGGATGGGTTTGCATGATGCAGAAGCAATCGGGCCATTTCTTTTGCATCGAGCACCCGCAGACTTCAGAGCTGTGGAACCGACCGAGTGTGACTTGACTTGGATTGACTAGAAGGGAAGAAAAGGTATCATGGTATGGTTTTTTCTGAATCTGCTATGTGACTCCAAGGTTCTTGCGTTGGAAGCTCCCTACAAGTGTGTATTCGACCAGTGCCTCTTTGGGTTGCAGTCCCCGAATGGGGTTCCAGTTCAGAAGAGAACTTGTTTCCTGACCAATTCGGCCAGTGTTTTCCGGCGATTCAACGGCCAATTGTGCAAGGGGCGCCATGCAAAGCACGAGAGAATCCAGGGCAGCCAAGAGGGCATAAGGCTCAGCACTTGGTGCCAGTACTACCCCAAAGACTTGTGTGAGGCCATAACCGACTGTGTGATTGAAGATTGGAGGGGTTTGCAGGCACGTTTCGAGCCAAATCAGCCGAAGTCCTAAGTGCTATGTTGGACATGAAGAACAGCCCAGCTCCATGGATTTCGGCCGGTCTCATTATGTAGAGTGGCTTTTCAGCCGATACCGGTTTTGAGTTGGCATGATCCATTCTCGGCCGAGGGGATTAGGATAAGAAGGGAGATCGGCGCAAATCCATGGATTTCGGCCGATCTCTGGGTCACCAATTTTTGATTGTGACTTCGGCTGGCATGGCTCCGGCATTTCTGTTCTCTAGACTGGCTGTTCGGGGAGATCGGCCGAAAAAAAAATACGGCCGAACATTATCTTGGCCACTTTCTCCTCGAAGAGTCTATGCCAGCGCCAGGTGTTAGTTCATGGCTTCGGTCCGGTACAAGTTCGGATTTGGCAGACTCAGCATGAAAAAGCGGTGATTCGGATATTATCTGATTCGTCGTGTGTGTGCTGCATGCATCCCAAAGGCCATGGTAACTACCTAGCCATTGGCTTCATGAGCATGGACAGGTTTGTCATCCGATCGAGCATGTCGTCACGTATGGATGAAGTGGCGAGCGATGCCCCCACCCAGCAAGGTGAGCCTGAAGCAGATGTGACTGACGGTGCCGAATCCACAAGTGCTTTGTCGGCTGCAGCTTCCTTGTGGAATCTGGAGCCCACTGCTCCACAGCCGGCGTGCAACGATGCTTTTGTGGAGAACTTATCCGACGAAGTTGCTCGCTTCTTGGATGGATTCATATCGTGCTCAGCCTTGCATCATGCACGTGAGCAGTGTAGTAGTGCTCAGGTTATGGAGGTGTCCGCCAGTACCTGCAATCGATGCTGCGTACACAGGTTAGACAACAAGAGTTTTCAATGTGGATCCAGGATCAAGTGCCTAGCGTGGCCGCACTGCAGAATCAGGAGGCGGGTGATGTGCCGTGCACATTGCCCGGCAAGGAAGGAGATACGGCATGTGTGTCGATTGCCATCAACAAGATTTCCTTTGCCACCGCCGCCTCTTTGAGAGAGCCACCATCACTGGATGCATCACGCAAGTTGTTTGGACGCTTCCCTGCAGAGGGCTTCCTAACCGAGACAAAGCCGTTGCTGTTTCACTACCATGTGCCTGGGACGCACCATGTGCTTGATGAATGTGCGTGTGTTGTGTATGTATATGTGGAAGAATGCTAACAGATATTGAAACCCAAGTCTTGTGCCAGGATATGTCACCCGACGAGATGATCCCTGATTGGAGTCTTGAACATGTGAAATCCCAAACCCGGGCTTTGTCACTGCTTGCGTTCTTGTATTACCTGAAACAGCACAACATGGTGCTGCGCGAGGCAGTGTCCCCGCTGCAGACAGTGACATTTAGTTCCGATTCCATGGTCCGTGGCATCATGTGATTTTTGTTCAAGGCACCAACCCTCTGGCAAAGTTTGAGCCGCATCTCCTGCAAGCTTCTGAAGTTCACCTCACCACGGGACCGCTTGCTGCGTGTTCGTGATTTCACACAATCATACACAGATCCTAGGTGTTCATCTAGGATGCTAGTGACAACCACTCATACACACAACCTCTGAGGTTTTACAACCTGAGCACAAGTCATCGTGGCCAGATTCGCAAAGCCCCTAGTGCGATTTCGTTTGTCTACGGCCTCAGTTCCGTTGGGTCTTCGGATCCACAGGAAACTTTGGAGCTTTGGAATGCCAGGGCACCGAAAGCAGATCAAGTCTCAGGGAGAAAGCAGGGGGCTGTACAGACTTTGCTGGCCATCGACAAGACTCACTTGGAGCTCATCCACAGCATCGTTTCCGAATTTTCCTTCGAGGGATGCCCCTTCAGCGACGATTCTTTGTCGAGCAAGAAGTTGTACCCAGGTGCTGCCTTCACCTCGAGGCTCGGGAAGAATTCACCGTGGAGACCGCGTCTGGTTGTCACCTCGCACTCGTTCGAACTGTTCATACAGATGATTCGGCAGCAGCACAAGAGCAGCGTTCACAAGGGCAAATTGCCCAAGGCGACCATGGAAGAGAAAGCGGAGATTTGTGCTGCTGCCTCAGCTCTCGGCCTGGAAGTTTTACGAACGGTTCCCAACGCCCAAGAGGACGTGGACGGGTGGGAGCCCCAGTTGTGGCAGGATCAGACACCATACTTTAAACAATGTTTACTATATAGAAGCACATAGTATAAACCAATATATATATATATACAGGATTATATGTATACATTTATGTATGTATGTATGTATGTATGTATATATATATATATAATGTGATATGTATATAACATGATATATTTGGATATATAGCATGATACACATATGTATATATATATATATGCACATAACTATATCCGACTATAATGTATATTCTAATAAAACTGTTCTTTAAGGGGGTTCGGGGCGCCTGAGAACGAAGCCATGTGAACCTTGATAGCTCTTTCTGATGTTCAATGTGGGTTTTGGTGAGTGAGTGTGTAGACATTGCACGTGTGAGTATGTGTCTATGAGAGCATGGATGCATTTCATGTGTACAGGGAAAGGCAAAGATCGGGGGACATTGGGGCACGATATGTCGGGGAAATTGTGACTTTGAATATTTGGTGCACTGGCCAGATGGGGAAAACTCCGAGTGTTTGACAACTGAAGCCGGCAAGGGGAAGAGCACGAGAGGCAAAGCGAGGCATGGGAACAACGGCCACCAGGGTGTACATGGCATGCTCACTATTATGTGGGTGTGCACACCTGGCTGTATGTCGCTTGCATGTTGGAATCCATGCTAGTGTGCTTTCCACAGAGTGACAAATGTGCTGGGCACCGAGTTCCCAGTTAGAAAATGCAGGTCGGAGGTTGGTTTTGAAAACCGAGCCTAGGTGGTGGCAGCGCTTTGCGGAAGGAGACAGTGCAGTCGAAATCGAACTCAGCAGTGCTGTCAACGAGAAGCTGGATACATTTCAGTTGCGTGACAACCCGAGCCACTTGTCGGCTGTACGCAGGAGCCCTCATGTTGCTGTGGTTCTTTCAGCTCTGACTCTCACAGTGATCTATCACCCAACGAGGTCTGAAGTCTATCTTGGACAAGGCTGGCTCTTGCAGGCTTCCTGTTCCCGGTGCCCCGAGTGCAGCTGATGTGGACGAGCGAGAGAAGAAGGTGAAGAAGCAGAAGTTTGAGCTTCTGCTTGAGGAGCTGAAGTTGGACTCCGAGAGCTGGCAGGTCTACACCAGCTCCCTCGTTGGCTACGAGGTGAAGTTGCAGCATGAAGAAGCTCGCTGGAAGCGTGCTCAGTGGGATGAGGCAACCACTGCAGTGAACTCGTGGCTGAAAAATCATGTCACGATCACCGCTTGGTCCCCGAGCAGGGACTCTGCGGCGGTGCTCCTGACGGAGCTCGCCACGCGAAGAAGCACTGCGGAGAAGAGACTTCAAATGCCTCCAGAATCCTTGGTGCCCGTTGCGCTGCTGAATGCGTGTTCTTTGTCGATGATTAAGTCAGAACAACAGAGCGCGGGCTACAAAGTGGCAGGATGCTTGGTGTCGACGCATCGCTTGGCTTTGGGCGTGGTCCTGCTCCCGGTGTTCAGCTACAAGAAGGGCTCCATTTTCTTGGAAGAGCACCAGGTTCTGAAAGCCCTCTCCTCGTTCGGAACTTTGAACCTGGACAGAAGGTTCTCGATCAAGTTCACGAAGCGCTCTGCTGCATGGCAGATTTATTAGATCGTGCGAAGTTTAGATAGTGCTGGAATTGCACATGGGCACCCCCGGAGATTTGTGTAAGATGTAGTGGTAAGGATGCACGAGACGAGCGGCCGTTGCTCTATCCGGGGCGTTTCATGATGGCGGCGACGGGTGAGGGGTCGAAGTTCTGGCGTTCAAGCCACCTCGTTGACACTGAAGTTGCACAGGCGGGACCTCATCTGTGCCCCCGCGAGATGGTGACCATCGAGAACTTGGACACGTCTTCTCTGCCAGAGACAATCCAGCAGGACAGCCATGCAAGAGGCGCCGCAAAGGCGTGCCAAGTCGGAGTGACAGCCGCACAGGCGGTGCTGGAAAACCTGGTGGTGTCTCGTCTGCAAGGACTCAGTCGACATCGCTTGGCATTGGGAGTGTAGTCTGGCATCACTGCATGCAGCATTGAGGCTGGTGTCGACTTCACGAACAGGATGGGAGTCGACTTCGTCGACTTGTTTCCGACGCATGCCGAGTTTCTCTTGGACACTGGTCTGAGTAGCACACCCATTGCCATGCCAGTATCATTTCTTTTTGAGATTGCTGTGTGCATGCAAGTGTTTGCCTGCTGAGGCTTTCGCCAATGTTCGTGAGAAGAGCTCCACCGCCATGCATATGACGGTGGTTTGCATGGATGAGGGCCATGAAGAGTGGCTGCGCTCGCATGTTCAAAGCGAGCTGGTCTCGCTTTTCAAGGATGGAAAGTTGAAAGTCGACGGCTTTTCGAGGCGGGGAGTGAGTGTCCGAGGATGCAGTGTGGAATATGTGCCATGTCAAAATTTCCATTCACTCGGAGCATGCAAGGTGCACAGGCCCTTTGCCCAATGAGAAGAAGCCCGCGCAGCCACAGTTTCCGACATTCGCCCGGCTCGGCAAGGCGAAAGTCGGTGACAGCAATCAGTACATTCCGTGTGTGCCCGAGGAGCTGACCAAAGAGTGGTATCATGATGCTGAGTTTGGCATGCAATTCCGGGAAATGCATGACAAGCTGACGGAACTGCTCCAGCTTCCATCGGGAGTGACTTCCACAGAAAAGCGGCCCACAATTGGCCCTGGAGCTCCGCCTGCCAAGAAGGCTCGAAGCACGGTGGAGACGAGTGCATTGTCGGAGTTGCCAGCCGAGACCAAGCTGTTGGAGGTAGGACTAATGTTTGCAGCAGTCAATGTTCATCACCATTCATTTCAGAGTTGATTTCGATAAGCTTTTCAGGCGCACATCGTTTCGATCAAGGTGGTAGAGGGCTCAGCCGAGCCTGTGAAACTTGTGCTCTTGCCATCCGGGCTCTACCTGCTCAACCCCACGAAGGACACAGCCTCCTGTTTGAAAGCATGCTTCTACTGTTACCTGACCACCCGCCTCCCTAATTCCTGTGGCCTCACTCACTCCTTCACTCACTCCCTTCAATCACACCCCTTCCTGAGCCTTTGCCCCTTGCCCCTCATGTAAACAACAGACATCAAAGCTCGGCTGCCAAGCCCCCACGACATCCTAAGCCCACAGCTGCTCCAAGGTTCAAATCGACGAGGGGCACATCATTGCAGGCTACAACAAGGACAAGTACCGGAGCATGAAACCCGAGGAGCAGATTCGAGAGATGGGGGAGGTCGAATGGGCTGTCAAGGATGGGTCTACAAGAATCCTTATGGACAACAAGCTGCAGACCGTCTCAAATTTCCTCGCCTCCGAAACCAACTTGGACAAGTGCAAGGTTGCATACCATGAGAGACCTGGCACAACACCAGTGTTTGCAGAAGGTCCACCAGTGAATGATTTATTACTAAGTCCATGTGCGTGTGACTCATGCACACAGTGTGAGTGTGTGTGTGTGTGCGTGTGTGTGTGTGTGTGTGTCTGTGTGAGTGCGTGTGTGTGTCAAGAACTGAGAGCAGCTGCTGACCTAGGAAAAAGAACAGCAGCTTGACGGAGCATGTCTTCGAGCAGGTGGCACGTGTGTGCTACTGTGCGGTGCCACTGACAGATTCGGAAAAGGCGGCTCCAGCGACACTGCAGGGTGCTGTCTCTGCGGCGGTGCCTACTGCAACATTGAACGCCTCGGAACTTCTTGAAATCATGTGGCAGTGCAAAGTGACTGGCAAGGGCCTGACCCCAGTGCGCCCAGTTCTCGTTGCCGCCAAGTCCTTCAACATGCCAAAAGGCAGTTTTTTGAAGTTGTGATTCCGAAGCAGTGTGGTGATTCCGAAGCAGTGCCCGGTGTAGACAGATCACAACCTTCAAGGGGTGCTACCGACACCAACCCTTCATTCGACACGATCTTTATGCCTTATGAATTACAAACGAGATGCACAGCACTCTTCGGATGCACTGGTGACTTTGCAGCCTGCGATTTTGTATGGATGCTGCAGGCGCCCAGAAATTCCAGAAAAGCTTTGGGCCTGATCTTTTCCCGTGTGTCAGCGATGCCTGGCGATGCAAAAATAAGACATGCTCGGCTGCAAGTGCAGCTGGGACTTGTACATTGTACCTGTAGCTTCACCGTCAAGCTCGAAGCACGTCTCAGGCAGTGGCTTCGATGATGACATGCTGAAACAGAAGAGAGCTGGCCTCAGAACGTTGACAGTGGCTCTGAAAATTTGTTCTGCTCGGGTGTTAGTAGCTTCTTCTTGGTACTGTCAGGTGGGCAGGCGACTGGCCATGAATCGGAGCATCACGCACTGTTTCTTGCCAGCAGCAGCCACCTGCTGAATCCTTCGTCATGTGTGAGTAACCAGCTGTAGCATTGACGAATTAAGAAGTAGGTGTATTAAACAATCATGCAAGCCATTGAGGTGTGGTTTTCCTGTTCATGACCAGCCCCCTTGCCAGAACCTTCGTGCCGGAACCTGAGCTCCGGGGCTTAGATTAGGTTTGTACACTTTAGTGTTCCCGGCAGATAGCTGGCAAGGACTGGGTTCGGAGCCACCGTGCGTCTATCACTTCCGCTTCCTGGTGTATGTAGCTTTCAGTGCTGCTCCAAGCTTTTTGCTCTGTGTGAGAGCAGCTGCTATTTGGGAATCTGTCAGCTCACCATACCCCAGCCAGGTCCTCCAAGCAGACAACAGGCAACTTTCCAGTGAGGGCCATGATCATGGTGTGCCTGGCCTGTGATCAGCGATCCGTGCCATCTTCATGCCGACTGTGTCTGCCACCACTGCACATTTCAATTGATTCACGAAAGTCTGTCGGCCTGAGTGGGTCCGTATTTGTGTCGGATCCAGCACATACTGGGCAGGTGGTACGAACTTTTTGCGCAGCCGTGCCACAGCCTTACAAGCCGTGTCCTTGTTTCGGGTCACTGCTTTGGAGTCGGCCCTTTCACTGGGGAAGAGAGGACCGTTCTTTGGCCACGTCCATGAGTCTTTGTACACAACTTGACCACGGGCTCCGGCTTTCCTTGTTCGTTTGCGTTGGATTCCAGTCTTTCTTAGGTGCAGGAGTTGTGCACGCATTGGTTGCAAC